ACTTTTTAGGATTCGATCCGGAGTCCGGAACGGATTAAGTTCGAGAACCGAGGTACCACTGTAATTATATATAGTGATTATGCATAATGGACAGGTGATCTGAATGGATGAATGTCACTAGTGTTGTCCACTGAAGAGAAGGAAATCATATATTATCATCTATACTTGCTGTCTCTGCCATAGTTAAACTTTCTCCTCTTTTCATTAAACTTCTTTCAGCCTTATAGATCTTTTACAGTTGAGTGTGTGAGGGGGCATTGGTTGTTCTGTATTTTTTTTCTGTTTACAGAGAGAGGGCATGTTTGAATCTACCGTAGTTATTTTTGTGTCCATATGTTATTATAATCATACAAAGTAACTGTGAATGAATATGCTGTGAAACATCAGTGAAATCTATTCCAGCTAAATGAGTAATACCCGGAAGATGCTTTTTAAAGGAAAAGCAGGGTAAACAAACTACAGAGCACATTTCCACAGCAGCTCATTCCACTGTTTCTTTTTCAGATAGATCAAGCTTTTGCTTTGCATTGGAGTTATGCTTGCATATTCCATGATATGATTTTTTATTTATATTTCTGTTCCCTCTAGATTTTCTGTGCATGTGCTTGGCGATCTCCATTCTTTAAACTGTGTGTATTTGTGTTTTTTTTTTTGTTTTTTTCTGTGGCTGAGTGTATTGATTTGGATGCATGCCCTTGCTCTGGGATACTGAACTTGCCATCATCACCAAATTTAAGAGGTGTATGAGTTTTTTTGAAGAGCAAGTTCAGCAGCAGCAAGCTCATAAATCAGTTGACAAGGACAGAAATGAACGCAATCAATTTCCCCAACTCTCTTGCCTGTCTGCAGGCCCACATTCTCTGGTGGGAGCTCCACTTGGTGGCTGGCAAGGGATGGAGCGCGGCTGTGAGAGCCCTCGGCGATGGGACAGCCCTGAGCAGCGTGGTGGAAGCCCGGAGCTCAGTGGGCCCCCACCAGGGAAGATCACCCGCCTGGAGCTCAATGGGAGCCCCACTGGACCACGGAGCAGTCACAACGGCGCCCCCCCAAGGCCCCTTGGAGGTACAATGCCTGGAATTCTCACTTATTCTCTCAGCAAAACAGCAAATAAAACTGAATGGGGAATTTAGGTTTGGAAACCCATGGAGGTGGGATTATTGTGTGTTGTTGGTATTTGATTTACTTATTTATTTATTGGATCCTTTTCATTTTTACTGAATTTCTATTGGGATCAGTCACTAAATGAATAACTGAAAACAGAAATGCATGGTAGCAGCAGTGCAGACTCACAATAAGGTATGCAGCACAAGGCAGTGTACTATTCAGCAGGGCTAATCATTAGGTAGTGTGCTATTCAGCAGGGCCAGTCATGAGGAAGTGTGCTATTAAGGAGGACCAATCAAAAGGTACTGTGCTATTCAGCTGGGCTAATCATAAGATAGTATGCTATTCAGCAGGATCAATCATAAGGGAGTGTAGCTACTCAGGAGGACCAATCATAAGGTACTGTGCTATTCTGCAAGGCTAATCAGGTAGTATGCTATTCAGGAGGACCAATCATAAGGTAGTATGCTATTCAGGAGGACCAATCATGAGGTAATGTGCTATTCATCAGGACCAATCATAAGGTAATGTGCTATTCAGCAGGACCAACCATAAGGTAGTGTGCTATTCAGCAGGATCAACCATGAGGTAGTGTGCTATTCAGCGGGACCAATCATAAGGTAGTGTGCTATTCAGTAGGGCCAATCATAAGGTAGTGTGCTATTCAGCAGGGCTCATCATAAGGTAGTGTGCTATTCAGTAGGGCCAATCATAAGGTAGTGTGCTATTCAGTAGGGCCAATCATAAGGTAGTGTGCTATTCAGCAGGGCTCATCATAAGGTAGTGTGCTATTGAAGAGGACCAATCATGAGGTAGTGTGCTATTCAATGGGTCAATCATAAGGCAGTGTGCTATTCAGCAGAACCAATCATAAGGTAGTATGCTATTCAGCAGGACCAGTCATAAGGTAGTGTGTTATTCAGCAGGGCCAATCATAAGGTAGTGTGCTATTCAGCAGAACCAATCATAAGGTAGTATGCTATTCAGCAGGACCAGTCATAAGGTAGTGTGTTATTCAGCAGGGCCAATCATAAGGTAGTGTGCTATTCAGCAGAACCAATCATAAGGTAGTATGCTATTCAACAGGACCAGTCATAAGGTAGTGTGTTATTCAGCAGGGC